AATTAATTGCAAAGTACCACGTACCTACGTCTGTCAGTAATGTATAAAAATTGAGACCAAATGTAAACTAATGCGTACAAAATATAATTGATATTATAAACTATCGTTTATAAGCCAGGTTAGGTAATACATCAAAGTTGTTAGAAAAATAACAAAAATATTTTCATTGCAATTGTCCTGAATGTCAAATAAATAAAACTCAATGATATTTAGTCTCTGGTCTTCAACCTTATTTTGGTAGTTCTTAATTAACTAATGACCTTGTTAAAAAATATGTTTAATGTTTCTATCTTAATGTTCTGCTACTAACAGTTACTTAGTTAATTTAATGCAAGTAGTGGTTAATAATATAGCGTAACTTTTAGATCACTTTCTCAAAGAGAGTTCAATGGTGCATGATAACGTTAAAGTTTTACTATTCACTTATTGTCATCAGATAAATAAGCTGTGATCTGCCTAGAGCCTTCATGCCGCCTAGGACAGGAACCTTGAAAAACAACCCTGTTTTTTTGAATTTAGCTATATTATCAGTAAAAACTCTTTTCACGTACCTTATTTTTCTTTGGCACTCCTTTGGTAAAAACTGTCTCTTATCCCCTTCTTCTTAACGTCCCTTAAGCTTAGACGCATATGTTTTATTACTTTAGAACAAACTATTAAAAACTCTGCCAGAAACTCAGGTAAATACATATTGCGATTAAGGAACGCAAAGTACATACCAAAACATTAGGGGCAATGGAAAAACGTTATGCTCCATATAATTAAAATAAATTTCTTCGTTGAACAAATTTAATAACTCTGGCAATGAATGGCATACGTTATTTTCTACTAGAACACAACAGTAGTAAAAAAAAATTGCTGTAGGTCTAAAACTAAAGCCAATATAAGCAACAATATTTGAATGATCAAGCTTTTTGAATCGATTTGACATATAATACATTTTTGATTAACGGAATTGATGTTTATAAAGTTTACAAGCAACAAATTTTCTCATAAAAAATTTTCTTTTTATGAGAGAATTTAAACTTTAACAAATGAACCTTCACAAATAAATGCATCTTCAGACATATTTAGAAGTAGCTCTACAATAAACTCATTGTTTTCTTTTTCAATCTGATATGAGCTTTTAGATTTAAGAAAACTAAAGTTTGCCATTTTTAAAATTAACTAATAATAAAATGTAAGCGCATTTTAAAATAAACAAAATAGAGTTTAAGAAGTGCGAAAAATTACCGGTAGCGAAAAGAGTAAGTTATGTAAGTCAATGTTGTTATATTTATTAAATATTATTATATATTATTATTATTATATAATATTATTATATATTATTATATATTATATATTATTAAGTCAATGTTGTTATATTTATTTATAATTTAAGGTTTTTATCTCCAAAATTAAATATATCATGTGTAAAAACATTACTAACATATAAATCTTACAATTCTTTAAGGGTTCGATAACGATGGGTTTTACAAAAATTATGTGTAAGTGTAAAAAATGAAAACACCAACTTATCGTCTCAATAAAATTTGGACTACTGTGAGGATATAGAAACGATAATGATGCAAAATAAGTTGAAAAAATATCGAACCACTTGAATGAGCCGTTAAAAAAAGAGCCAATAAGGAGTCGCGTAAAGTAGTGCACGGTTTGGTAAGGCAGTATTAGTTCTTCCATACATACATACACACTAATGATGTCATACTGAAATAAAGAGCTTTATTTATTTATTTTTTTTTAAATAAAGAAAAAATCAATATATTAAAAAAATACCCTTTACAGTTTTTATTTATTATATAATTCTTTGAATCATACTGAAATAGCCATCTGTTCAGTACATATATTGACTTAGAGTTTTTGATATGTACTATTTAGATATAAGGACTTTTATTCAAAGCAAAGAAAGTATAAACAATTAACTAGATATGTCTATATTTAAACAGAACACTGTGTACATATTAAGGAATATTTGAAAATCATCCTTATCAACTTTTTATTTTTCAATACTACTTGATATTAAGGGTGAAATGCAAGAATCAAACTTGAAATTTTAAGTCATACTTCAAATCTGAAATTTGACTTAGGTGTATGCAAAGAGCAAACTAAAATTCAAGCTATACTTAAAAACCAGTGGTTTTCAAGTTAAACTTAAAAGTAACTTGAGAAAGCAAAAATCATATCTAAATGCAAGAAGCAAGTTTGAAATATTAAGTTATACTTTAAATCAGTTTGACTAAAGTGTAATGCAAGAACATGAACTAAACTTGCATTCGAAAATGAGTTTTTAAGTTGTTTTTTAAGTTTGGTACAGACCAGACTTGAAAGCTCAAAAAACCTAAAAAAAAAAGATATAAAAGTTATATAAGATTTTTGATATTGGAAGTATGTTTATCAGTTTTCTCATTTCATAGGCATAAAGCAATAAAAACTATTAAAAAAACAAATCCTTATAAAATAATGTTAAAAAAGCAATAATTTTATTTAAATGAAAATAATTTAGTTTTAATGAAAAAAATATAATAAGATTGTTTGCTTTTAGATGTAATTTTGTTACCAAATAATAAAGAAGTCATTGTGTTGCTAAACTTTTTTATTTTTATTTTATAATAATAAAAACATTCCGAATGTTTTTATTATTATAAAATAAAATAAAAACATTCAGAATGTTTTTATTATTATAATATAAAAACATTCAGAATTTTTTTAAAAACATTTAAAATGTTTTTAAAAACATTCTAGTCTTTTTATTTGTAGTTTTGTAGTTTAATTAAATCCTGTAATTAAATTAATGTGTTTTGACATAATCTAACCTTAATTTTGTCAGCTTTAACAAACAAGCAAAGAGCTGTTTTTCACCACAAATTGTATATCTGATACCTTTACTATAGGTATATATATATATATATATATATATATATATATATATATATATATATATATATATATATATATATATATATATATATATATATATGGGCAATTCTGCAAGGAAGAGGAAAAAAAAAAGGTTAGGAAAACATATGCTAACCTCGATAAATTCTTTTTTTAACTATTTAAGAATACTTTTAAGCCAAAAAATGATTAAAAAAATGGTTTTATCATACCAAAGCATTGTTTTAAAGTTGTAAGAGTTATATAAACAATATTTGACATTTTTATATATTCTTGTGAAGCGTTGAAAAAGGTTAATATGCTGCGTTTTTATGTAACTATTACAATATTAAACATTATGTAGAATATTATTTATAAAAACGCACTCCAACTATGTCTAAAAAAAGAATATGTTTATTAAATTAATGTGTTATGACCGTCACAAAAAGAAGTCAAGTTTTTTCTAGGCTTCGTATCAGACTTTTTAAAGCTAAAAATATAGTAAAAGTAAAGATAATGATATAAGTTTTATCATTGTTTTAATTTTTTTTAAAAGATCTTTAGATGATAGTATAAAGATGTAACAAAGTACATTATGACCATCACACTATATGTTTGTTTTTCCATAACGGCTTCTTGACATCTATATAAAAAGTTTCAGCGTGAACGATTTTATTATTGAAACCAAGTTAAAAATCATTTGCAGTTTGTTTATTCATAATATTGCTAAGCCTGTTAAAATAATTTAGAATAATTTAAAATTAGAAATTATTTCTTTTTTAAAATATAAATCACTTATTTAAAATAATTGATGTAAATAAATTAATATTTGTTGAGAAAAATAAACTTTTAACATAAAATTTTTTTTTTTTCGTTAAAACGTTTTTTATAGTCTGCATTGTAATGTTTTTGTTTGTTCAATTTCGCAATTGTTTTAATTATAAATTTCGCGGTTGTTTTTTTTTAATCTTAACAGAATATATATATATATATATATATATATATATATATATATATATATATATATATATGTATATATATATATATATATATATACATATATATATATATATATATATATATATATATATATATATATATATATATATATATATATATATATATATATATATATATATGTATATATATATATATATATATATATATATATATATATATATATATATATATATATATATATATATATATATATATATATATATATATATATATATATATATATATATATATATACTTAAAGTTTTATTAATGATGTTAGCTTGTAAGTTCAAACTTTTCTTATGATAATATTATAAGTATAGTTTATATTTAACACAGTAATTAATTGTGTTTCTTATTAGCCTAATAAATGCAAAAACGTTTTCCTCTAATTCATCTCTTGAACCAAATTGCCATATTCTTTCTTTCACCTTAATGATACAAGTCAGTTCACTATTAAATAAACCACTCTTGTTTCTCTAGCTGACGTTATTTCTCACTTATATTCTTCTACAGTTTGTGATCCAGACAACCTTTCATGACAGTTTTACTAATGTAAAAAGTTTTGATTAAAAAAAAAGAAACTCTCTTCATTGTTTTCTGTTAACAAGTGTTTAACAAAACTTGGTTTTCCTTGCTGCTAAAAAATAGTTTTAACTCTTAAATAACTCTTAAAATTGCTTTGACTCAAATGGGTATTTATTAAAATTAAAAAATAGCCTTGAATGAAACCAATTGACTAAACTATTGCCCATTTTGTATTATTGTTATTATTAACCAAATCTTAGAATCTTTAATTAACATTCTTCCAAAAAATTTATCTCAAGTCTAACAACTCTCTGACAACTAATCAGATTTTAATTCTCTTACTTTACCATTTTACTGCTGACTTGTTAACCATTTTACTGCTGACTTGTTAATCATTTTACTGCTGACTTGATTTTTTTATCAAACTTTTTTGCTGACGTGATGCCAACCTCTAACAGATACACACACACACACACATATATATATATACATAGTATGTTCATAGCATATACAAAATTTAAATATATATATATATATATATATATATATATATATATATATATATATATATAATAAATATAAATTATTTTTTATATAAGGGAAGATATCATTAATGCTGTTAATAATGCTATTGACAAGTGTGAAGAAGGGATTGTTGTTAAAGATCCTTTATCTTTATATGTTCCAAACAAAAGAAATGGTATTAATTATTTATTTCATAAATTTATTATGTGCAATAATAAATTTTTTTATATAGTTTTTAATAAGTTTTCAAAGAACACAAAAAAAACAAAAACAAGGTAAAAAATCAAGTGAAAGTTGGCAACCAAAGCTTGAAAACAATTTTGAAATTGATATTTTTACTTTGAAAGAATTATTTTATAAACTTATGTTGGGAACAGGGAGCATTAACCATTTAAACTTTAGTAGAGTTTTAAAGTATAAATTAATATAGCAGTCTGCCTTTAGTTACTAATTTTAAATTTAATGAACACAGTATTAAAAAACCATAATTGAGAACTTTGTTAATGTTATTAAGTTATTACTTGTACATAGTTTACATGGTTTTAATGATTATTCATCTTTTTTTTTTGATAAGTTTATATAGTTTTTAAATTTTAAATAAAGTTTTTGTTGGATTTTTTTTTGGATTTCCATCTGCAGGATATTAAATACAAGCATTTTATTAATATTTAAGTATTTAAATTAAAAAAAAAACTATTTCTTCAATTTGCAAAAAAATGTACAGTGAGAAAATGCAAAATGTGTGCTTAATATAAACTCTCTCTCTACAATGTAGAGAGAGTTTATATTACGCATAGCTATATAAACATATCTTAGTGCAAGTATATGAAATAATTTTGATAAAAATTTCTTGGGAAAAATCACCACTATTATTTTTACTTTATGGCTAGTAGAGTGTGTATTCTGTGATGTTAAAAAAAAGTTTAGATTTAAAAAAAGTTGATTTAAAAAGTATTTTAAAAATATTTTAAGAATATAATAATAATAATATTTAGATTTTAGATTTAAAAAAGTTGATTTAAAAAGTATTTTAAAAATATTTTATTAATATATTAATAATAATATTTAGATTTTAGATTTTAAAAACGTATTTAAAAAATTACTTTAAAGTATATTAGTATTTTACATAAGGAAAATAGCATTAAGATTTTTTGTAGTTTAATGTTTGTTACATTTTTTTCAAATTTGGATTTTACTGTTTATATATAATATTGAAACTACTAACAATGAAGTTTTGAATCGCTTATTCTTATTAGTTTTGAATCTTATTCTGCTTAGAGATAAAACATTCATATTAGGATTTTTTTCACCTATTCTATTTGTAGCTTGAGGTAAAAGTTGAAAAATGCTTAAGATATAAAATATGTTGGAACATCCTTTTCAAACCTTTGTATAAATCTAATTAAACCTTTGTTTATATAAACAAAGTATAAACAAATCAATTAAAAATATTGGAGAAGAATTGTATCATAGTTTTTGCATGTTTATTGTTTAATCTGCTCTCCTTTTATTATATACTTATTAGCTTTTTACTTTAACTTTTAAAACATCCTATCAAATATCTTTGTTTTATATCTTTTTTAGTAGTTATGTTATTAGTAAATATTATTATTAATTAACTTTTTAGTAATTATGTTGAATTCATATTAGAATTTGATTCATATTAAATATTTTGATTCATGTTAAAAAATATTTTAACAATTTTATTAGGTAGTGGTTGGTACAAATTAAAGCCAGAATATATTGATAGTTTAAGTGATGACTTAGATTTGATCATAATTGGAGGGCAGTACGGCTCAGGACATAGAGGGGGAATAATCTCACATTTTCTTCTTGGTGTTGCTGTTAAAACAGAAGAAGGGTCTGACACAAAACCAAGTTATTTCAAAACATTTGCAGCGGTGAGTAGAGTCACCTGACTAGGAATATTGTTGTTATTACAGTCCTTATAGTCAGAGTCGGATATACAATTTTAGGGCCCTGCAAAAATTTAAGGCCCCATTTTTAAAAATAATGTTTTAGTTTTAAAAATACAATATTCATTTAATGTAATTAAAGATTTTATAATTTTTTTTTTTTAAATATTGTTTACAATCTACATAACCTGTTTTCTTTATTTTTCATCAACAGAATTGCTAATCAATGAATCTAAATCAATTGAGTTCATTTTGTTACTTTCATTTATCTCTTTTAATAATGAAAACAGTTTTAACATTTTTTGCAATAGTTGATTGCAAATCATTTTTAGTTAATTCTAATTTTAAAAATGATCTCTCTCCAAAGCAGTAAAATATCATTTTAAAACATGAAAATTCTAAGAATGATCTCACTATTTGGAAATGCAGCCAAGTATAACAGTTAAGGAGCTTAAGTATTTAAATGATCTTTCAGATATAGGTGTAAATATTTGATTTCTGCATTTAAGTTTTTGTCCATGTCTTCTGTGCAGTCACCAAACAATCAACGCAAATCTATAATTTATTGTTATTGATTCTTGTGTCTATTAAAACTACAAATTTTTCATTCAAGTGCAATGCTATTCCCATTGCATTGCACTCCTTCTTTTAATTTTTGATGAGATTATTGTTGGTTCTTATAAAAATATTTGTCTTAAACTCTTCATGTGAACTTAAGCTCATCTGATCGATTTTTTTCTAAAAGAACTTTCCTATAATAGCGTCTCTTTTGTAAACAATCTGTTTCTGGCAACATTAATTTTATATCCTAGTCAACTAAACTAAATGTATTAACTAATAGAAGATAATCACCATGAGATTAATCAAGTTCAGAACTATTAGAAGAAGATAATTGCCGAGAGATAAATAAAGTTCAAAATATGTATCAGAGTAATGGTTAGGAAACAGCATTCATTTAGTGCAAAGATTGATTGCATTTTATTATTTGTAAAAATTCAAAAGTTTCTTTTTTCAAAAGTAAGTTTTCAGTTGCAACTTTTATTTTAAAAATTTTTACTCTTATTGATTGCTTCCATCAGTTTGTCGTAGTTCTGGTGATTGGTTTCAACTGAGTTAGCATTCAATAGTAATTTTAATAAATACTTACGAGTTGTTCCCAAAACTCCATAGCTTTGTAGAAGTAAAGAAAAATTATACAATTTTTGAACAATACAAAAAAAAACTTGATTCCAACAACCTACGGCCTCTCCTACTATAATAAGATAATGATCTGAACATGACAAGAATTTTATCAGCCATGTACAGCCATGTACAAAAAATTAACAAAAGAACAAAATGTATCTCTTAGATGTTTGTTTTTAAATATTTAAATGTCATTTTTAATTTAAAAAAAAAATTAAAAAATCTTTAAATAAAATACGATTTTGAAAAAAATTAAAGTAGTAAAATGTTTTTTACACTATTACTTTTTAATAAGATATATTTGAATTTTTCCAAGAATTAAAGTCTAATTTTATTGCGATTTAATTCTGGGTCTCTTTTTTTGTCGAGCCCCTAGGCCTTGGCTTAGTTGGCCTGCCTGTAAATCCCACACTGATTGTAGTATCTGTGTATTTGTAATATATTTAAATGATATTCTTATATAAATAAATAAAATGAAATTTTATAATTAATTGTAAATACACTCTATAAATTATTAAATTGATTTTATTATATTTAAAGTATCTTTATAGTTATTACTTAATCCATTATAAATAATACTTAATAACATTATAGCTTGTTTAAAAATGTCTTTAATGACTTAGGTTGGCTCTGGTTACACTGATAAAGAGTTAAGCTCTTTGTGTAGCAAACTTGACAAGTATTGGCAAAAGTTTGATTTGAAAAGATTGCCAAGTATGATTGAATTTACAAGTGGTTGTAAGGCATGTGCAATAAAATACTTCATTTTGAAAAAAATGTCTGTATATTACAAATATATATATATATATATATATATATATATATATATATATATATATATATATATATATATATATATATATATATATATATATATATATATATATATGTTTTAAATATTTAAATTTTTGTTTAATTTGTTTTTTTGTTTTTTATTGACTGATTTGTTTAAGGATTAGCCCCAGAAAATTAGATGCTACATCAACTGAGGGTTTTGGTTTGGGCAAGCAATTAATCAATTTTAAAAAAATGTTATAAATTTTTAACTTTTTTTGGTTTTCTATATTACCTTTTTTTTTAAAATATATAATATTGAAATTTCTACTATCTAGAGAAGAAGGACTTTTATTTCAAGAAAAAATTATTATTATAGTTATTAATTTTTGCATACATTTAGTTAAATTGGGTATGCTATATATATATATATATATATATATATATATATATATATATATATATATATATATATATATATATATATATATATATATATATATATATATATATATATATATATATATATATATACATATATATATATATATATATATATATATATATATATATATATATATATATATATATATATATATATATATATATATATATATATATATATATATATATATATATATACACACATAGGATATCTCTTGCAAAGTTCACCAGACCTATTTGCTTTTTGTGAGACTAATTTGAGTTCAGCTGTCTCATCTTGTGATCTTAGTGTTGATGGTTATCTTCCTTTAATTCATAAAGACTCCAATAGTCACATGCTTTGCTTGAGCATATATATTCGTAAGAATTTATCAATTTGTCTGGAACCTAGGTTTGAATCCACAGACTACTCTTTTATGTGCTTTCATTTAGCACCACTTTACTTTATCGCCTTTCTCTTTGTTCTATATTGCTCTCCTTCATCTCAAGACTGCACTCTTCTTGATGTTATTTTAGATCATGTTGACCAAGCCCTCTCTCTTTATCAATCAGCCAATATTGTTTGTGTCATTGACTTTAATGTTCATCACACTGAATGGCTTAGCTCTAGTGTCACTGACTCTGCAGGCATTAAAGCCCACAACTTTTGCCAATCGTAACCATTACTTCCATATCTATCAGCAAAACAATTCTCCAGAAAACAGATGTCTGTTTATTACTGCTAGGAACCATTGTAAAAAGGTTTTGTCTAACGCCAAAGCCCGTTATTCTCAGGTCATGAAATCTCATATGTCATCACAAAACTTAGGCTCTCATGACTTCTGGAGAATCTTTAATAGTATCAATAATAAGGGCAAGTTTGTAATTCCACCTCTTTTGTATGGTTCAGAATTTGTCACCTCACCTGAAGACAAAGCTGAATTGTTTGCTAAAAACTTTTCACCAATATTATCTCTTGATTCCACTAGTTGCGTTCTACCTGATATGATATACGTCAAATAGGTTGATCCATTGCTTGTATCACTCCAGCTTTAGAAAAAAATTTAAAATCTCTGTTTATTTAAATAGTTATAAAATTATAGATAAATATGTATAAATATTTTCAAATTCCAAGGATAAATTATTTCTAAATGTCACAGATGTGTTGCCAGTATTTACATGTTTTTCACATTTTTCACCCATATTTTAATAACTTTTGAAGCATCCTAAAGGGTTTACAAAATTGATCAAGTGCATTATAAAATAGACATTCATTACCATTAGCAAATGCATGTTAATTGCTAATGAATAAAAAAGTCTTACGTTGCGTGGCATGATCCTTAAATTCTAAGAGTATTAGTGGGGGAGGGGGAAGACTTTTATCAACTTGGCTTAGGGATTATATTTATGTTTTCCTTCCTATAGGACTTTTCATTTTGAACTTTTTGCTTTGGCCAACTGTGTAGACACAAATCAAGGAGCGAAGTTAAGTGAACAGGGTTGTCTGGAAAAAGAGTCACAAAGTTGACTACCTGAGAGATTGAGAAATGCATAAGTTATGAGCTTTAGTGCCAGCAGGGTCAGTCATGTTAGAGCCAAGCCATTCAGTGTGATGACCATTAACCCCTAAAGGACTGGGAAAAAAAGTTATGTTAAGGACGGCTGGGTATCAAACTATCCCAACTAAAAATATAGGTTTAGATATAAAATATGTTTTAACAAATTTTTCAAAAAAGAATTCTAATAAACTCATAAGCTCATTTACTGTTGTGTCAACCCATCCTTTTAGTCTTATTCTACGAGCGTCAGCATTAGTGTAGTTAAAAATAATTCTAATAATTTTTAGTGTTATAAAGATTTTAAAGGCAGTATCCACACTTTGGCCACAAACCTGAGCTGCAAACCTTGTTGGACCAGGTGGTTGTCAAATAATATTGTGTGCATGTGGCTGAGCAGCATCAACAACTGTAAGTTTACCCCAAATTTCCTCACCAGAACAATAAATAACAAAAAGAAGATATGTTATATAGAAGCACATAAAAAAAGTGATTAGAGGATTCAAACCTGATTGACAAATTGGTGAATTGATGCATAAGCATTTTCCCAAGTTAAACATGTGACAATTAGAGTATTTGCGAATTAAAGGATAGTACCCATCAATACTGATTTGAAGAAGGAACAGCCAATTTAAATTAGCCTCACAAAGAGCAAGTAAGTCTGGTGAATTTTGCAAGAGGTGATGGAAAGTTACTTAACAGACTACAATTATTTAATTAATAAGTTGTTGTTTATATAGAAGCAAAAAGAAAATTTTTTTTCCTTGAGAGCAGTTAATGATGCAGCTGAAAGAACAGTAAAACTTATTTAAGATTTTTATGGTTTAATCACAGCAAAGGAAGAACAAAAGCAACTTTTCTATATTGTATGCAAGAGCATATAAATCCAGATTGTAAAAATAAAAAGAAAATATCCTGCCTAATCTGTTATTTTATATTCCTTTAACGAATATTTTAATAAATATAAATGTTTTAATAATTTTGTTAATTTTATCGTACAAAGATAAAATTTTGTATTTAAGTTAGTTTACAAAGAAATAGGGGGTATGCATTTCAATATCCAAAAAAAAATTTCACTCCAATAAGTGAAATATGAGTGAAAAAAATTTCACTATATTTAGTACTGGTCATAAATTTAGAGCCACCCCATTTTTTTTAGTTTTTTGCAGATTATAAAGCCATAACCCCAGTGCAGCAAAATATTATATTACGGAAACATTCAAAATATATTGTTATAATATTTTAGTACCAAAATGAGTATTAAAATATTAATAATGAGTAGGTCCACCTTTATTTTTAATTACTTCAGCCAACCGGGCTGGCATAGTATCAACAAGCTTCTTGCAATCAACAGCAGTAATACTAGTCCAAGCAGCAGAAATAAAGTCCCAAAGTTCATGTTTATTACTAGCACGTTTTCCTGCACAGCAGCAATCAATTTCATCCCACAAATTTTCTATGGGGTTCAAATCTGGTGACTGGGGTGGCCAGTGCAAGACTTGAACACCATTAGCAGCTAGAAAATCTTTAGTCACTTTGGACGTGTGCTTAGGATCATTGTCTTGCTGAAAGATCCATGGAAAAGTTGCAGGAAACAATGCTGTTGCTGAAGGTAGCAAATGCTTTCGCAAAATATCTCTATACATGGCACCATTCATGATTTCTTCTACCTGATGCAACTGGCCCGGCCCAAAAGATGACATAAAACCCCACACCATGATGCTACCACCACCATGCTTTACAGTTCCCTGCAAACATTCCGGTTTATATGATTCATTTTGAGGACGCCAAACAAAAATACGTCGAGAATCATTACCAGCTAAATTAAATTTGGACTCATCAGACCACAATACCGTTTGCAAATCAGTAACACTAAAATGCTAAAATTCGTGCGCAAATTTGAGGCGCTTCTGCTGATTAATTTTGCAGATAAAAGGCTTTTTAATAGCAACACGACCATTCAAACCTTGTTTATTCAAATGACGACGGACAGATTTTGGAGATATTAAAGGTCCACCAACATCATGCCACTGTCGAGACAAAATTTTGGAAGAAAGGCGACGATTTGTTATGGCCAGGCGTTTTAAGGTTCTATCTTGATGTAAAGTTGACATTCTAGGACGGCCACATCTGGATTTGTCTGTGAATGTATTTAATTCTAAATGTTTCTTATATGCATTTTGTACAGCATGGCGACTTTTTTTCAATTTTTTGGCTATATCATTTAGGCTAATTTCCTTTAAATCCACCACCTGGGCCCGAACAGTTGAATCAAGGCTTTTAGCTTTGCCCATTTCAGAAAATATTTTCACTTAAACTCTAAAATAAAAGCGAAAATAACATTAAATGCATAATCTAACTAGTGTACACATTCCAAAAAGTAGCATAAATAACAACTGAATTAACCAAAACATTGATACCAATACATCATAAAGTTAACATAATATGTTAAAATGTTCAAAAATTGGCTATAATATTAAAGAACTCATGAAAATCAATATTTTTATTTGGTTTAATACACAATTATTCATGAAAATCAATAGATTCGTACCTTGTTAAATTACTATATGCATTGTTATGCTTATAATGTTAACCTCACCATACTTATGCCGCAAAATGATGAAAAAAACAGGTGGCTCTAAACTTATGACCAGTACTGTATAATACATAATATATAATATATATATACATATATATATATATATTATATATATATATATATATATATATATATATACATATACATATATATATATATATATATATATATATATATATATATATATATATATATATATATATATATATATATATATATATATATATATATATATATATATATATATATATATATATATATATATATATATATATATATATATATATATATATATATATATATATATATATATATATATATATATATATAGCATCCTAGTTGCGACTTTCAGGGACATGTTTTTTTTGTTCCCGTTCTGTTTTTTTGTTTTTTGTTTTTTATACTATTTTTATCATACTTATATTTTTTTAACTTTTATTTTATTTCTATTTTTATTTATACATATTTAAATTTATTATTTTATTATAAAAATATTTTTTTTATATTAATTTTTGTTATTTTTATTTATTTATTTTATATCATATTTCATTTTTAACTTCATCTATTTACAAAAACGATTAATTTTAATAATATAACCAAATATAAACCTTGTCGTAACCCTAACTCTAAGCCTGACCTTGATGCCTGGCATAACCCAACCCTCAGTCGATGTAGCAGCACTCTCTTGCGAGTCAGGCTATTTAATAGTCGATGTATGTACTTTTCCTTCTCTATAAAATTTTGTTATCGGTACATTTTTTACAAAATAAATAATGCTTACTGGGACAAAAAATTAACGGGTACACAAAAGTGTCCCATTTTTGTGTGCCCAATAATGTTAATGTCCCCATAAGTGCTCGTTTTTTGTAAAATCTATCCCTGTAAGTGAAAAACTATACAAATATATATATATATATATATATATATATATATATATATATATATATATATATATATATATATATATATATATATATATATATATATATATACAGAGAGAGAGAGAGAGAGAGAGAGAGAGAGAGAGAGAAAATTTTGCTAAGTGATTTTCTACTAATTTGTAATTGCTCTGTTCTTTTAAGAACGTTGAGCACTCTTTTTGTAGAATACATTTTAAATTGTTTAAATATATATATATATATATATATATATATATATATATATATATATATATTGTATATATATATATATATGTATATATATATATATATGTATATATATATATATATATATATATATATATATATATATATATATATATATATATATATATATATATATATACATATATATTTTACACTAATTTTTGTATAGACATTATTGTTTACATTACACGATTTTTTTTGTAAAAGCAACTTAAAATTTTGGTCAGAACTCAAGTTGCTTATTTTTCAGCCAATTTGTATATCTCGAGTTGCTTAATGGTTGCTTATATTTTTTAGCCTAAATTTCAGTGTTTTTAGGAATAAGAGACAAAATACGGTTTAATATCAAGTCTTTAACAGAAGAGTGCTCTTTACAACTAAAATCACTTAAGTTCTAATAAAAAAAAAGATCACAAATGTTTCTCTCTTCTGCTGGATCTTTATTTTCTTCACCTCCACTTTCTTTGTCTTCTTGTCCGTCTGATTTTTCTACTTGTCCATCTAGTTCCTCGTCTTCTCCAACTGATTCATCAGGCAAAACATCAATAGGGTTATGCTTTACTTTGTCTGGAATAGGAGTCTCTGTGATTTCCACCAGGTTGTCAATGTTAACAGGGGGTGGAACAACATAAGCAGGCATGCCTTCAGGATTTATCTCATCGTCCTCGCTACCATCAGTTGTGATAAGATATCCTGTTTTCGCAAAGCTCCTATAAAGCATACAATGAAATTTCTCGTCTTTGGTTGTTTTACGGTAAGCTTCACCGACCCAACGAGTTATCAAAATGCATCGATCTTTTGCCGACAGTTTCCGATCATCGTGGCCAAGCTAGAGTTCGATGTTTTCATCATTTTCGAGCCAGATGTTTTGTTCTGCTTTAATATGTGATTTGAATGCTTTTCCTGGTCCGGCATCAACAGGTTGCCAAAAATGTGTCCCGTTGGGAACACCAAACCAGACAATACCTTTATGTTGTTGCTCTTCATTCAAAAACTCATCACTGACTTGGGCTGTCAGGTTATCTCAGAACAAAACATACTCATCTAGGTTAGCGACAATATTGGAGAGAGTGTTCTTCATCCATTTCACGCCCTGTATCTGCCCATGCATTTGGTTGCCAGTACACATCTATATCAGTGTCATAGGCTAAAACTTCATCTTGACTAATCCTTTTCCCCTTACCTCTGAAAATCAACGCCAGCTTCACCATTCCTTCAGGACTGAAACATATTTGAAGGGTAGCTTGTCGCTTATCAAGCCCACTGCCAGGTTGAGCTACCCATACTCTATGGTCCCTTTGTTCCTTTCCCTTACTCATTAGAATTTCGTATGTTTGTTTGCTCTCGACTACAAACGGAAGTGGAATTTGATCTACATTGATTCTCTTTTTCGGTGGGAAATGCCCCCATTTTTTATCGTATGTGGGTTTGCCACTTCCAGACTTAATCAACTTTTCTCTCAAATTTGAATGCCATTTCATCAGAATCGGGTTTTGCTTCTTTACGTCAGCTTGGCACTTACGTTGAACACACAGCATGCGGATCTTATTTTTCCTTAAGAAATGAGTGACTATTGATTTTGGCAATCTGTCAGAATTCTGGCTTTGTTGTAGATGAATTTGATTCGCTCGGACATACAACCACTCAAAGTTAACTTTTAGCCCCTTTTTTTCTTGCTTCGGAAAATTTGTCATAAAGTTTGTTAAACAAAGCTTTGTGTTTGTCGCCTCTTCGGCATTTCTTGAATAACGCGTTTTTCTTTTTTTCGTTGTACTTGTTGTAGATTTCTTTTTCCTTTGATTTCCATCGAGTAATCATTGAATACTCTTATGAACGTTATACTTTTTTGCTACATCCCTACTTAACATACCATCGTTTAAGTCATTTAGCGCATCAACCTTTTCTTTTAACGTATAGCTCTTCCGTTTGTCAGCAATTTTTGGTAATTCGTTAGTTTCAACATCAGTAATAAGCTTCTCTAAAACCAATTTCACAGTTTTTTCAATAATATTGTACTTGTTCTTTCCATCAATGATTTGATCCAAGCTCATTGATTTCGGGTCTTTGTCAGTTTGAGCAATATCCGTATGTGATAACTTATTTTTACACCAAACTCGTGCATCGAAAGGGCTTGTGATGTTTTCAGTGATTTTTTGCAAACAATACATTCAAACAAATTATCTTCTTTTTCCTTCGGCACTACATTTACCAACTCACCACGATAATAAATCTTTTTGGTATAACCAAAGTTGAACAAATTTGTCTGCTCTCTCTTACTCATGATCTTAACAGCGTTGTCAACAACATACACAACAACAACACTACTGTGATTACTTTCTTTTGAAATCATTTATCTAAAAGAAGTCATTACATTGCAGAGAAAAAAATTGCATTTTATGAGTTGCTTATGTTAACATTTGTTCAGAACTGAAGTTGCTTAATATTTTTTCACATTGAGTTCAGTTGCTTATAAATGAGTTGCTTATACAAAAAAAATTGTGTATTCCCATTTTTAAAATAAACAAATTGAAAATTTTTATATTTATTCAAAAATTATAAAATCATAACTTATTAGAATAAATTATTATTACATAAATTATTCAATAATATTACAATATACAATAATATTACATAAATTATTAAATAAAAAAAAACATTATTCTTCCAAATTTAGGAAAAACCTGATGTTTGGATTGAGCCAGATAAATCAGTTATTGTTCAAGTGAAAGCTGCAGAAATTATTGTTACAGACAAATATGCTTTTGGTTATACACTAAGGTTTCCACGCTTAGAACGGTTTCGCTATGATAAGAGTTGGTATGACTGTATGACAACAGAAGATATTATTGACTTACAAAAGGTAACATTAATTTTTATGGAGGGTTTTTCTTTTTTTTTACTGTCTTTATCTCCCTAAGGCTGAAGTGGCAGTCATGGATGTTGCTCTTTTTTTTACAATCTCCCTCAACTTTTTAACTTTGAAATGCAAAACTTGTCAAAGATGGTCACTGTGCAGAGAAACAAGTTAAGCACAGTACTACCATGAACATGGTGGAGATTAAACTCAGAACTTCTTACTTATGAAGTAAACACTGTACACCACTACACTATTTTTTTAAAACATCAACTAATGAGAATAGATTTTCCCTCAAAATGATCAACAGGATGGAAAAAATATAAGATTAAAGTATTAAAGAAGTAAAAATATTAAAAAAAAAGAAAATATTAACAGTTCATGCCAAAAACTTATTCTGATTTACAATTTTAAACCAAGAACAAAAAAGCAACTTCCCATTGTTTTTTTATATGATATAATAAAATTAAAAAAACTAAACTTTTTCTCCTGAAATCTTCCTTATCTCCACAACAATTTCTTTTTAATAACCTATTAAATAATTCAAATTAAATTTTCAGTTCAAATTGTTGGCAACTTAAAATAGCAACTAACAAATGTTTTTGTTTATGTTACAGAAAATATTTTTTTTACTTATTCTTATACAGTACTGTTACCAATATTGAAACTGTTCAAATTTAGGGTATTAAAATCACCAAATTTAGGGTATTGGACCAAATGTCTACTGATATTACTCTCCTATCTCAAGCTTTTGAAAACTTCTGAAAACTTTTTAAATTCTTTATCACTAATAATTCTTAACTTTTGTTGAATGTCTACAAAATTTATGTGCCTGTACTAGATCTTATACTTGAGTTTTGAGTCTTCACCTTTTAGAAGGTTTAAGTTGCATAAAAAGCTGGTTAAAATTTTACCAGAATTATCAAGACTTATTGTTTTGATATGTAATCAGTAAAAGCAGAGTTAAGTTTGATCTTTTTATCACTGTAACATTATTATTATCATAATCTTGTTGGTTTATCCTTTTCTTTTTCTAACTCAAAACATTTTATAAAAAGTCATTCACAAAGATTTACTCCACGTAATAAATACTCTAATGATATAAAAAGTTTTTTTTCAAGGAAAAAATTATTAAAGAATAGAACGCAATACCTAACTATTAGTAAATTTGCCTTCACTGTCTGCATTTAAATCTATTTTTAATAAGTTTAATCTGCAATGTTATTGTGCAATTTCTTAACTTGTTTTATTCACACTCTTATTGGAGTTTTATTATTGTTGTTACACAAGAGTAATTTACTAAATCTTATAGTTTTGTATTTTGTACAATTTTCAAATAAAATTCAGGTTAAACATAGTTTGCTCTCTTCAAAATATAATTTTTTTTAAGTATTTAACAATAATTTAATTCTAATTGTCAGGCTTTAAACATTACAACACAGCAACTCTGAATAATGACTCTGTCTAGAACCTTATTACATAACCTTATGGAGAAAGCTACACAATGAAACATGTTATAATATATAACCTTGTGGAAAAAGCTATAACAATATATAATAATATTATAATATCACCATGATTGGTTGAAATTTGAACAATTTCAACTAATAAATTTAGTTTTCTCAAAAACTACTTAATTAATTGTAATGATTTTTTTTTATAATCATGCTTACATAATTAGTTTTTATTTCAACAAAAATAACTTTAGCCTTAACTTTACAACGTGCAAGTAATTTAGTTTTTTGTTAAGTACCTGCCATTATCTCATCAATTTTACTTTGCGTCACTTTTTTTGTAGCATTAATCCATAAATCTTGAAAATATTAATATTTGAACATTTGTCTCCTTTTACTCAATATTTCTTTTATAATTGCCCAGTAAGATTCGGTAACTCACTGGTCAGGACAGTTTAGTGGATTAATATTTGAAACAAAATTGACTCTATTTTTCTAATACCACTGCATTAATTTTTTTGGAATAGTGGTTGATGCCAAATCTGGCCAAAATAAGGTTGGTTGTTTGTGCTTTTTATTAAGAGGAAGAATTTTTTTTTATGAAAAAAAGATTGATTTGTTATGAAAAAAGAACTTTTAAAACCACAACTGCTAATAGTCTGCCATACAAGAAACTTTAGAGCAAATATTTCAACTCAAATGTACTTAAATTTGTCAGAAGCTTTATAAATTTTGACTGATAAAAGTATCGATTATCTGGAAGCAGAATGATCTTTTTTACAGTAAGTTTCATTATCTTCAAAATTTTTTTTTTGTAATTAATTTAAGCAAATTTTTAGCTTTTCCAATTGCTTTGATTTCTCCATCAAGCGACCTATTTGATATTTTTTCTTGTAATATACTTTCAGGTTTTTCTTTTTGAATACTCTTTGAATGAAAGATGTACTGCATTTGAATGAAAGATGTACTGCATTTAAAGCTAAATCTTATTGTAGCTAAATCTTATTGTGACGGATTTTGATGAATTTATTCACCTATTGATTTTGTCTTTTTTTTTGGAAAAAAATCTTGATTTCCCACCATTTCCTGATTTTCTTTTTACAGTTTTGTTTTTGTTATAACTTTTTATAAAAGTTCTAACATTTGGTTTTGGAACTTTACATGCTTTTGAAACTTTTGGAACTTTACAAGCAAAAACTTGTGATGAGTAAACAAAACCAAACCCACTCACAGAACAACTAATTATGTAAGCATCATTATAATATATATATATATATATATATATATATATATATATATATATATATATATATATATATATATATATATATATATATATATATATATATATATATATATATATATATATATATATATATATACATATATATATATATATATATATATATATATATATATATATATATATATATATATATACATATATATATATATATATATATATATATATATATATATATATATATATATATATACATATATATATATATATATATATATATATATATATATATATATATATATATATATATATATATATATATATATATATATATATATATATATATATATATATATATATATATATATATATATATATATATAAATTAGTCACTTATCAAGTTTTTTTCTTCAAAAATTTGTTTTTCCATTAGTAGGTTCATGAGGATGCCCAATGAACCGACTAATGGAGAAACAAATTTTTGAAGAAAAAAAAATAGATAAGTGTTTTTACTTATTTATTATTGCTCTGTTCTTTAAGAACATTGAGCACTCTATTTGTAGAATACACTAACATAATTTGTATGTATATATATATATATTTATATATATATATATATATATATATATATATATATATATATATATATATATATATATATATATATATATATATATATATATATATATATATATATATATACATGCTCATATAAATATAAATATAAATTTTATGTATGTAAACAATTTTCTCAGTTCTGTCAAATACCCCTTGTTCATATTATTTATTAGTTTTGGTTGGGGTTGCTTTACAATCTCCCTCAAAAAAAGGAAAATTTAGCACGATTTAAGGATTTATTCTCTAATAGTTCTAATTGTATTATAACTGGTTGTATTTTTTATTACAGATGTTTATTTTTCCATTCTTATTGTGTTTTTTCCTGGTTATATTAAAAAAATACCATTACTTAATCAGAAGTTTGGATTGATGATTTCCAAAATAAATAAATGGTGCTTAAAATCAAAGGAAACCAAATTGAGAGCATATACATTAAATTGGGCCTGATTCACAAACTGCTTCATCATGTCCAACTTAATGTGTAGAGGTAACATGAGCACAATTTTTAGATCAACAAGTGATTTTTATATGATGTTCTGAGTTCCAATTTTAAAATCTTTTATCTATTCTTGGTTTTTTATTTAAATTCTTTTATCTATTCTTGGTTCTTTCTGTTGTAATGTTAAGAAATTGCTCTACTTCCTCAAAAATACAGAATTGAAATTTAATAAATTCTATCACATGATCAAGCAAGAACTGTTATAACAGTTAACAATTCAGTAGTAAAATGAGAAAATTGTAATTCATAATTTTCAGTGAGTTTTTAGACTCTAGATATTAGAAGTTTATATAGTTTAATAGAGATTTAAAGACTTTACTACTAATAATAAAACTGGTTGTCTGTGTTTTGCAGAGTTTTTAATGTTGGTGGAAAACCAGATTTAGTAGGGAAACAAGATAGTTAAGTACTTGTTAAATAGTTTAGAAAGTAAATAAAGAGAATATTTTTGTAAAGCTTTGACAAGAATGTTGTCATGACTACATGCTGTAGAAGAGTTTAGGAAATAACTTTATCAGCTGTAATGATCGACTAAATGACAGCCTAACAATTGACTAAACTGTGAGTCTGTAGAAGTATGAGGTACAAGTTTAAGTTAGATTATAGCATTTAACACCCACCTGAAAGAGAATAAGGAGAAAACCAACACAAGCTATGGTCAGAGACAAGACACAAATCTAGGAGTGAAATTTTGTGACTATTCTGGAAAACAAGTTTTAACAGTCACAAAGTTAATTATCTGAGTGAAAAATAGAAAAGTTGTGAGTTTTAATGCCAGCAGGGTCAGTGGTGCTAGAGCCAAACCATTTAGTGTGACTAAAGTAACCAGTAACAATAATATTGATTGTGGGGAAGAGTTGGAATTAGTAACTAAATAGAGTGAAGAAGATCTAGTATTCATCATTTTTGGAAAAAATGTAACTTGGATTTAGATTTATGTCAACCTGTTAGATAAGGTAGGGTGTGAGGTTAACATAGGTGAGTATGGTAAAGTAGGTGAGTAGGGTGTGAAGTTTATTGACAGAAGTTTACCTCTAATGAAATCCTTGCCTAGGAGGTTTTCTACAAGATATTAATTATATTGTATATAACTTGCAAAAAATTATTTTTTAATATATTCATGTTTTTATCATTTTAATATATTTATGTATTTTTATCAAGGCTGCCTGTGGGAAATTAACATCTAAACACATTGAAAGTGAATCATCTACTACATCTAATAAAAAGAAGCGAAGACTTGATGACCATGTTGATTTTCCAGTTGCAATTGGAAAACAATTCAAAGCTGCTGATGTTTCAAATATAAATGAAGTAAAGAAAAAAGAGTTTTTATTTTTGTTACCCAGGTTTGTTTGTTTACATAATGATTGTAATGTTAACATTATAGTATTAATTTTTTTCTTAGTCTAGCTCGGCTTTTAAAGGAAAAGAATTTTGTGTTATCAATGGTTCACTAACATGTACAAAGCAACAACTTGAAGAGAAAATAGCTGAGGTATTTCAGAAAAATTCTGTTTTAATAGTTTTTCAAGGTATTGATATACAAATTTTAACAAATATATTGATTTTGTTATCATTTTGTGTGTTAAGAACTAACATAGATCAAGAGCTGCTTACATAGACTGAGGGTTATTGTAATCTAAAGTAATCTAGGTCTATGCAAATGCAAAGTAATCTAGGTCTATGCAAATGCAAAGTAATCTAGGTCTATGCAAATAAAATAAAACCTCAGTCTATGTTAACAGCCCTTAGTCTATACAATTCATGGACTGACGATTTATTTTATTTGCATAGACCTAGACTACTTATTTTTTTGAATGTTTACAGTAAAAGAAGCAATTTACTATATTCCTAATGGCGCTATCTTGGTATAATCTATTAATAGTACAGTTTTATTTTAATGTTTGTGTTGAAATTAATGTATTTAGTACCATATTTTATTTTAAAACTTATAGATGAGTGGTGTTTTTGTTCAAAATCCTGGAGAAGATACCTATTGTGTCATAGCAGATAAAGTTAATGTTAGAGTCAAGCACATAATAGGGTAATTAAAAGTAATTTTCTGTATTATTTGCTAATCATTTTTTGGTCAAAATTTTCACTCCTGTTATTTAGTAGTGGAAAATGCGATGTAGTAAAAGTAACTTGGCTGTTAGAATGTTATGTAAGTAAAATATTTTTTTAGCCTGTTATTTTAATTTTGTATTATTTGTAAGATTCAGAAAATAGTTTTATTAATTTGAAATATTTTAAATTTTAATTATTTCGGTATTATAGGAAAAAAAAGCGCTGCTTCCATTTTGTCCTAAATATATGCACTATTCTACTACTAAAACCTTGGCTCTCCTTGAAGTAGACTTTGATAAATTTGGGGATCATTATTTGGAAGATATAAATCCTAGTACACTTTCAGACATTTTCAGTCATATGAATGCTGATAATTTAAATGCAGAAAATATTGCAGAACTGGATGAACGCTACACAATTAGTTCTGTTGGTTTATTTAGAAGACACAAGTATGTGTTTTATAGTTATATTTCTCTATCATCTACTATTACCTCTGTTTTTACTTTACTTGAGTTTGATTATATTTTTAAAAAATTTAAACAAGCTTGTTTGTTGCATACTAGTATTTTTTAATATTTGAAATTAGTAAGTAAACAAAAAAAGTATGTGGTAGCAGTATTGTGGTAGAACGCTTGCTTTGTAAGCCAAAAGTACAGTGTCAAACCCCACCATATCCCTAAATATACTTTGACCAACTTGTTTCTTGGAGTGGTGGTTTTTGTCAAGGTTTGTGAAACACAATTTTTAACAATTTGTAGGTATAAGAGAAGATTTTAAAAACATTCAAAAAAAAATGAGTAGTCCCGCCAAAAAAGGTCTACCAATGTCTACCAATTTTGTCACATAGGTAGTTATTTAATCATAGTTTTGTTCATGCAATAATGCAACTAACCACCTGTGCAATTCTTGGCCTTGTTTTAAAAATTGCTCAGTTTTATTTTTACCTTTTGTGTGACCATGGAAAGAAAGTGAACAGAAAGGATGTTTGTGTAATATATAAATCAATTTTATTAAAATTGTTAATTATATACTTAAATATTATATACTATATGTTTTTTGATATTACATTCGTAGATTTATTTTATAATTATTATTTTATAATTATTTATTTTATTTTGTTTAATCATAATTAGAATGGGTGAGTCAAACAACATCAAGTCAAGTTGTTGACTCACCCATTCTAATACAATACAAGAAACAAAGAAAACATTTTAACACTGGTAAAGTCCATTTGAGATGCACAGAGTGAGCCAGAATGAATGCATAGTTGTTTTTGTTGTGAAGCAACATGACTTTAAGGCTCTTAGGTAAACTGTATATAAATAGTTGCCATTCATTCAGATTACAGGTGATATCATTAAACCATTCACTAAATAGATCAAATTTAGTGCTGTGACCAATACTAAAAATTATAATTAACTTAACTTGGCCAAAATAATAGTTGAAAAACTTTTAACTTTAAAAAATTATATTATGACCTTTACCTACAGCACAATACATTAAAGCTTTAAAAATGAAAGGTTGAGACAGTTTTAAAAAATAATAGTAGTAGGACTTTATCCAATTAGTCCCAGGCTTTCCTGATTACTACTTTTTTTAAATTTCAATTAAAATCAGTTAATAAGAAGAAGTTGGAATCTTATATATTTTCCCAAGGCCTCCCCAAGCACTCTAACACTACACCACTGCCACATTACAAGATTTTGTTTTATTTTGAGATGTATTTTTTTATACTTATAGATTGTATTTAGCATCCAAATTACATTCTGTAAGTAATTTTTTAAAGTTAGACTTTTTAAAGTTATAATAATTTTAGAATTATAAAGTTATATATAAAGTTTATTTTGAAAACGTTTAATAATTTTTGTATATATATATATATATATATATATATATATATATATATATATATATATATATATATATATATATATATATATATATATATATATATTAGGGATGTACCAAATCTTCAATTTTGCCGAAGCCGAAGCTGCGGCTTAAGTTATACATAATTTAAAGCTCAATTTACTTCACCACGGTTATTTGAATAATCAAGCTGCTTTTATATATCAATATTTTAGGTTTGTATGTTTTGATCTACAAGCCCATTTTAGGAAAGTTATAAAACAAAACAAATATTATAAAAAATTTAAACAAATTTTGTACAAAAATTTAGAGAGTGAAATTTAGAGTCTTAACTCTATATATCTTGCAGGTATAGGAAAGATTACATCACTAAATCTGAGACATTTAGTGATAATTAAGGTAATATATGGTCTATTCTTTGAAAGAATTTATAAAAATGTAAACACGTAAAATGTAAAAATATAAAAGTAGTCATTATTTTAATTTGAACATCAAATTTGAAATTTGTTTTAAATTTTGTTAAAACGTTTAATCAAAACTTTTTTACAAAATTTAAAAAAACACAAAACTTTCTTTGAAAACTTTGACAAATTCAACTTGTAAGTATCTTTATCAGAGCAAGTGTAACAGTATGCACCCCACCACTTATAAGGGCATTCATTTTTTGGCAGTATTGGAAGGCTCAAGTAGAAGTTGACTTCATCGGTGCTGATACATAAAATATAGGTGGTAATTTTAGGTTTAAACTTTTAAAATATCACCTTTTAATCAACTAAACAAAATAAAAGAATGCTCTTATCCGTCTTTTGAAATATAAAAAATGGAGATTTAGAGAAATTAAGAATAAAGATAAAAAAATCTCATTGATAAATGATAATTAATATTGGTCATATGCAATCAAAAATTTAAAATGGCTATAGGAAATACAAAAGGAACATGAAATATATAAAAGGATATAATTACCAATTTAATTTCAATATTTAATGTATAAGCAATATAATATATTCTGTTTTCTTACCATTTTTCTTTGACTGTTAGAGTTTTTCCCATTGAACTAGTGTTTTTTTCTTTTTTCTCCGTCCGTCAGAATTTTGTAGAGCATACTCATTTGCACCAATTAAGTAGAACAAGCTATATATGTCCATGCTCATTAGTTTTTTTTTTAATGGAGAGCCATGGACATCAAAATCTGAGTCGGACTCATGAATTTTAGATTCTGAAAATGAACTTAATGATTTTTCTGAGTCTGATCCACTACCTCTTACTACACCAAATTCAATTTCTTTTACTTGTTCTAAATGAGGTTTGGAACAAAAACGGTAGAACTCTAGATGGAGTGTTTCTTTAAACATATTATGATTCTTGTCTTCAACAAACTTTAACTTGAAACGAGGATCAAGCATCATCACTATTTTTAAATCAACATTATCCTTGTATTTTTGAAAACGACAGTTAAAATCTTTCTTAAGTTCATCAACAACAGTTTTGATTTCAGTTGCCGTGTCACAAGCATAGTCTAGAAACTTTTCCATTGCATAGATAAATGGTATAATCTCTGATATACATGCAGTTCCTTTACTCATGTCTTTTGTAGTACTTTCGAAGTGTTTTAATATGCATAAAAGCATTTCAGCAAGGTTCCATTGATTTTCCGTAGGATTTTTTGCATTTGTTTAATTTCTGGTAATGCAATACAATGTAATAGCTTTTTTCTGCTCAATGAACCTCTCAAGCATATAGTATGTCGAATTCCATCTTGTGGAAACATCTTGAATTATGTTATGCTCTGGCAATTTTAGTTGACTTTGAATTTCCTTTAGTTTAGCCACAGCACTAGATGAGTGGTGGAAATGTCCTGCTAATGCTCGAAAAACAGCTATTGCATCACTTGCTGTTCTTTGTTCTCTAAAGATCTTTTATGAATACAAAGTTGTAAAGTATATATCAGACACGGAAGATGTTTATCGCCTAAATTTGACTCTTGTTCAAAGTAAAATATGATCCAGCTCATATTTTACTTTGGCTTTTATGGTTTCATACATCAGTGGAATGACTTTTGTGGAGAAATACTTTCGACTAGGTATTGTATACTTTGGAGCTAAATTCTTTAAAAGTTGGGTAAAACCTTTATCTTCAACAATACAATATGGCTGCAAGTCTAAACATATCATTTCTCCAATAAGCTTGGTAATAGTTTGAGCCTTAGGATTGTCAAGTTATCACAATTCTTTTTTTTTCAAAATCTCCCGCAGTGAGACCTGAAACAAATTCAACAAATTAAAAAAATTACTTAGCAACTTGTAACTAACAATGGCCAGCGACGGATCTAAGTGGGGGATAGAGGTATGTATCTTTCCCCCCTTATCAGAACATTTATTATAATATTATAAGCTTAGGTAAGTTAAGTTACAAGACATGACAAGACATGCCCCCATCCAGTCACAAAATCATGAATACTGAATAGTAAATGAATTTAGCTACAGTTATCTTAGTTACCTGTGTCGATGCTCTTTGAAAAATGGCAATTGTGTTATTAGACACACACGAGGTTTCCTGTGTTTCATCTGTGGCAATGCTGGTAATGATTTGCACTGATTCAGTAGAGCTTGTTTTATCTGAGCATAATGTTCAAGTAGTGCAAAATTGTTTTATAGGCTTTTCATTTGGATTTGGTAAAGATTCGTGGTTAACAGCTTTCTTTTGAAAAAGAATCATGCTATGTATATAATGTAATGTACTTTTTTCAGATGGTTTTGTAAATTTGTTGTTGACATGTTGTGCGCGTCTTTACTTCCTCTAGACAAAGTCTTCTTGCAAAGTATGCAGATGGCTTTGCCAACATCTTCATCACTCTTATTTAAAATAATTCCATAAGGGATTTTTACTTTGCGATGAGATATTAGCCATAATGCGCTATTGGATAACTTAAAGTTATAATAACAATTCTGAAAATTGAAATATAAAGTTTAATTAGTTTCTTACCTTTATTAATATTTATTGAAATAAACAATATTCGTTCAATTTTTTAATTCAAATATTATTTGAATTAAAAAAAATCAAAGTCGTAAATAACCAATTAACCTATATTTGTAGAGCAGGTATATTTACTTTTACTAATGATCCAGCGTACAAAATCAAAAACAATTGACTTATATTTCAATTGTGCTTTTCTGTGTATTAAGACTTAAGTAAAACAAACTTTCTAAATAAAAATTGTTTTGTGCGTTAAAATTAACTTATTTGTATAGATTTTTAAAAATTTCGAGAATAGTTAACTCTCTCAACTCTCGCGCGCTATGTTTTTTATTACTTAAAATCCGGAGGTTTGAGTTACATCTATGTAATTTCAAATGAAGATTTATTTCCAGGTTTAATTTTTAATTTTAATTTATTATTAAAAAATATATAATTTAATATAACTCGGATTTTAGAAGTTAATGCTAAGTAATAACTAAATGCTAAAAAAATTAAATTTTAATTATTTTTTATTATTTTACTACCAACTAATGCATAAATAAATTTTATTGCTAAGCTCGAGTGATCATAACTAAATATTAGGGTTATGGTATTTAATTATATAAAGTTTACTATAATGTTACAGTTTAAATCAGCTTATATTGAGTGATTATAAAAAAAATCAATGTAATGTAAAATCATTAAGTAACTTTACTTTTTATCCGCTATTGTGCCATTTTTGGCTGCCCTACACACAGCCTTGCCACCTCCAAAAGCCGTTGATGGATTCATTTAATCTTTACAACTGTGTAGACCAGAGGCTTATTTAAATTTCTCATTAAGCAGCCGTTATTTAGTCAAGAAGAAAAGAAAAAGAAGTATTTTGAACGTTCAACTACGTTTTATTTGGAAAACAGACCTCATTTGAACGTTTAAAAAATGTCTTCCTCAGTCAAATGCCAGCTTAGTAATGTCCAAGTATACTGTAACATACAAAAAAATATTTCAAAGCAATTAAAGATTCTAAGCTATAGCTTAGAATCTTAAAAAAGTTTAATGCTTAGAAACTTAAAAATATTTTGCCGAAGCCAATGATTCGGCGAAAAACGCCCATGGCTTCGGCCAAACCGAAGCAGAATACTAATATATATGGGAGCCAGTTTTTAATCAAGGGTCATGATGGGTGGCCTTTTTCAAAGGTTAAACAAAACCAATGACTTTTCATTTACTTTCAAACCAAAGTTCATCTGTTTTTTATATTGGAAACTTTATTTTAAAAAATTCATAACCCTAACATACATATATACAGTTCATTCCAATTCAATTCTTATGTTAAAAGTTAAAACAGTTTTAAATAATTATTTTTCTATTTTTCAACTTTTAATTGCATAGCATATTGGAATTACACTTATAAGTATATATTTATAACATTTTGTTATAAGATCCCCCAAATGATAAACTTGACTTTTTGATATAACTGACCAGGAAGATAACATAGTAGACCAGAAAACTCACTATGTTTGATGGAGTGTCACCTGAAATTTTTTTAGACGATTGCGCATTGTTTTCATTATTTTAATACAATTTTAAAAATAAGTAAAATCAATTCCACTTGCTAAGACAGTAAAAATTTCAAATCAATTTTTAGTAAAAAGTGCAATAAATTAAATTTTCACTAGTTAAAGTTTATTTAGAAAAACTCCTTAAACTTTCAGATAACTAGTCAAACTAAAATTTAAACTCACATAAATAGTTACTGTCACAAATTTAGTATACTAGACATTAAGATGCAGTATTTCCATAAACTGTAATATTAAAGAGCTTTCCTCCATTAATGAATTATTGTTTTAAAATTGTCTGGATAATATTTTTAGCTTATTATAATACTTATTTAATGTAAGTAAAATATTAAGTATATATTATAGCTGAAAACAGTTTTATAAGTGATTTGGTTTGGGTAGTATGTTGGGTTGAAAAAAATGCCAGATCTAAACATCTATCAGAAGTAACCACCCGATTAGAAAATACTATTAAACTCTAAATATATGTTGGCAATGACAAAAATACTATGGCTTTTCCTTATATCATATGTGGTGCTTGTTCTAACTTCTAGAAGACCATGGAGACTTCGAGTTGCTAAAGTATTTTACATACTTAATGTTTAAATATACTAATAATATATTTGTATATTATTATATAAAAATTTGAAACTGTTTACATATATTTTTTTATATATTAAAAATTTCAAATTTTTTTATGTACTATACATATGTTCTTTTTTTCTTGCTCGTAATGTAACTGCAGCAAATACAACAAATGGTTATATATAATAACATTTAATATTTGTATAATATATCTAAGTATATATTTAGGCATATAATATAAATAAAGCAGACTTTAGATATAAGACTTTAGATATAGCAGAGTTTAGATATAAAATAAACTTATATTTTTTTAATATTTCTGTTATTTAAGTAAATTGGTTTTAGTTGTCTTCAACTGAAATGTACACTACTAACATATGATTTATATTTTATTTAAATTTGAATGTTAAAATATCATTTCTTTGTATAATTCTTTGTTAATTTATAGTAGACAACAAGTAGACTATAAAAAATGCTTATAATATAAAAATACCTAAAAATTTATAAAAACTGTTTAAAGTAAAAATTTTTCTAAATTTGATTCTATTTTTTTAATTTTTATTTTGCTATGTGAAAAGTTTGTGAAAGTAGATATTGTAGTTGCTCTTTTGTTACTGGAATTTCTTATCAATGTACACCTGCTGTCATAGACAATTTAATTGGTTACTGTTTATAAGGAGAATATTTAGAACAAATATCTAGTGTACAAATTTAAAAAAGATGAGTAAGCATATTGAAAAAAGTACATTTTTTAAATTAAAAACACAAAGAATATCTCTATTAAAGTTGAATCACTTTAAAGTGCAACAGAAGTAGTAAACAGTTTTCTTTTCAAATAATTATAGAATTGCTTTTTCAATTGTGTTAAAATGATGAAAATTATACATTATCATTCACAAAAATCCCAGGTGACACTCCATCAAACATATTGGGCTTTCTGGTCCATTACGGAAATTAGTCATATTGAGCAGTAAGTTAGTCATATTGAGTTTAATTTTTCAGAATGACATTTAATTTTTAAAAAAGTTTTACATTTTTGCAATTAAATTTATATAATTCACCCTTATATTTGTATTTAGTAACATAACTTTTTATGATTTTAAACAAATTTCATAAAAATACTTTTCCCTTTTAACTACTTAGATTTCCACTAAAAAGCAATTTTTGATTTATTTAAAATATATTTTTTTATACAAAATATTTTAATTAAATGAAAATGTTAAAATTCAAAATGAAAATATTAAAATTCAAAATGATAATGTTAAAATCACAGTTTATTTTAAAAAATATAACAGCATATTTCCTGTAGCATTTATTATTTTTTTTCAAAACTACATTTAAAAATCTTAAAGAAAAAAGTATTAAAATTTATCATTCTATATCTATATCTATATTTAAGTTATTAAAATTTCCAAATATAAAGGAAGCAACCAATAGCTATGAAGGTAAATTATGAAATTATATAAGTGTAAATTATATAAATTATGAGGTTATAGTTATAAAGTAAGTTATGAAATGTATGAGGTAATAGTTACAAGCAACCAATAGTTATAAAGGTTATGAAATGTATGAGGTAATAGTTACAAGCAACCAATAGTTATAAAGGTTATGAAATGTATGAGGTAATAGTTACAAGCAATCAATAGTTATAAAGGTTATGAAATTAATATGAGGTAATAGTTTTAAAGAATAAATAAGATTTTGGTTAAATCGAAATTCCATTTTTAACCAATCAAAACCCAAACAGATGAATTTTATCTTGTATCTGGCAATAAATTTTATTTTGTAACTGGCAAATAACATTCCATAAGAAGATGTTCAGCAACATGGACTTGGTTTTAGACCATTATTTGATGATCATTTTGATGGATATTTAAAATCATGTTTTTTTTTTATAATAAAGTATCTAGCAGAAACATTATGCTGATTATGTTTATATCAATTTTTAAGTTTGTTGTTATTGTTACATTTAATGAGAATGGAAAAGAGCAGTTGCAGAGTATCTTTTGATCCAGTTTTGAGCAGTTGCAGGTATCTAGAAAAGAAATTTGTGTTATTTTGATCCAATTCTTAATCTTCTAAGTAGATCTAGGTTTATTTTAAAAAGTGGCAATTTTGAAATTGGTGTTATTCTTCAACAATTTAAACATAGTTAAATTATTTTAAATTTAAAAAAGTTTGTTGGGTATCAGAGTGCTTGGGTATCAGATTGTAAACAACAATCTGATACCCAAGAAAAGACAGAAATCAAAAAAAAAAAGAAAAGTGTTTTTTATTTGTTTGCTTTGTTATTCGGCACATTTTTTACTATAAAGGTTTTCAACAATATTAAAGTTGTCATGCATAAGACCCAAGTCCATAATATGAGTTCAATGTAAAAAAACACTACAAAGAATGTCGCTTCAAAATATTAATGGATAAAACACCACACAACACCACCGCCACGCGCAATACTTAAAAGTATGATACAAACAAACAAAAAAAATCAGCAACTTATAGCATTTTATTATATAATTTTTTAGTATAAAAAATTTTTAAAAATATATATTTTTTGTTTTTTCCCTATTAATATGTAATTTTTACAGTCTTAATTTTTCAGAAATATATTGATTTAAATACATTTAAGCTTTCTTAAATCCTTTTTTGATCAAGAAAGGTGGGCAGATTTTTCCGATAGCATGCCTTAAAATCTATGATTTGAATCCAAAAGTGTTTGATGTGATTCAAAGTTTGTTTTAAAAAATTACATTCAAAATTTAAAATACTTGTTCAACCTGAATCTAATCTTTATAATTGTTTCTCTCTTAACCTTAATGCAAAAGGAAAGAATTAAATTTCATACTTTTGAAGAATCTTTAAGCAATTATTAGTTGAGCAATTTTCAACAATGATTGCATTTACAAATAAATTTTATGAACATTTCTTGCAAAACAAATAAATAATAAAAAATATTTTGTAATACATTTTTGAAACAAATTTTTTATTATTTACTTTAAACTTTCCAGATAATTTTTTTTTTCATTTAATTCATTAGTTATTTCTATTTATTTATTTGAAGAAAAAAAAAAGAAATTTAACTTTTATTTATTAGCTTATTTTGTTAATTGTTTACTAGATTGCATTTGAAACGGTATGTAAGTAAAGTAAAATTTTAAGATATTTATATAATCAACAAGATTATCTAAAAATAGTTCATCTATGTAAATATTGATGTGGATTTTAAAACTGTAAATTGAAGAAAAATAAAACTTTTTCTTTGTTATGTTTTTCTCATAATATTTTAAAAGATTTATATGTTACATTCTTTGTGAGGCAAATACTTACAAAATTAAATATTTGTTCTGTCTATAACTTTTTATTTTTAACTTTTGTTTTTGTTTTTAGTTCGTCAGTTTAGAGTTTCGTTTTTATGGTGGAACTTTGTGCAATCAGCTAAACGTCGCTTCACATGTATTAGTTGATGAAAGGTATTTTTTAAACAAGATATTTTAGTTTTAACAATAAATAATTTCCATTAGGGGTCATATATAAATTATATCATGCTTTGAGGGTGGGGGAGGAGTTTGTGTTTTGTGACGACTCATGCGAAGCTTGTTACTTAACAGTGACCATATTGTGACGAGAAGGGGGAGGGGTCAAAAAGTTTAATAATTGTGTGACGTAATTTTTGGAGGACCCCTTATGTATTATTTCATTGCTCACTCTAATAATTTATTGGTTTGGTCATTAACCATTTCATCGCCAGTTTCTATACATAATTACATCCAAGAAAATCACCAGTGATGTTAAATCCCAAAAAGGACTCAATTATTCAAAAATGACAGGGGATTTACAGTGGTTGAACCTATTATTTTTTATTCCTGATGTCTCTAAGTCTCTGGATGCCATTTTACATAAGAAGTCAATTTTTAAAATTGCTAGTATCTGTACCCTAAATATCAAGGTTTTGTCCACTAAAGTAGTCCATTAATCTCTCGACATTTTAAGAACTCCTGATCACCAAAGACCAGGAAAAAGGATTTTATGATACTTAAAAGTTTAAAGTTAAAGTCGAAGTCTTTTTTATGACTTCATATACTAGAAAACCATGTCTAAAACTTTTGAGCCATACAAATAAAAGATATCAAAAGTTTTAGAAAAACCTGATAGCTGTAAAAACAAAATCAGTCACAAATAGATAAGTAAGGATCATTCTGACAGCTGAAAATTTTATGACAGTTTTAATTTAATCTTAAAAATTCTTACATCATTTGCAAGAAAAACACAGTGGCGTACTAAGCGTCGCTTGTATACTAAATGAATAAAATAAAGAAACATTCAACATATTGAACTGATTTTTTCAGTAGATATAGAACTTTTGTTTTCATTTCAATATATAAAAGAAAAATATTTGGTTTTTGTAAAGAACAGTTTTTTAGAATTTGCAAGACATACATGGTAAGACTGAGATGTAATTTTTTTAAGAATATTTGATACAACATTGTTTAGTATTTTCTTGTCATTTATTTTGGTATAAATAGTTGACAAATTAGAGTTTACTACAAAACTTTATCTAGTTCAAATTCAATAATCTTCAATTTAAAAAAATCATATTTTAAATGTTCAAATTTTTCATGAATAAATTACAAAGAGCTTTCAGTAACAAATTTGAACCAAATAAAGTATCCCTATTATCAAAAAAATAAAATATAAACATTTTTTGGTTAAAAATTAAGAATACAAATATTACTTGTGAATACAATATATAGTTTTATTGTTAAAAATAAGTTATGAACATATATATATATATATATATATATATATATATATATATATATATATATATATATATATATATATATATATATATATATATATATATATATATATATATATATATATATATATAAACTAATTTAAAACATCAGATAATACGAATTCTCTCAATACTAAATAATTTATTTGAAATTTTCGCTGGATTATAGGCAACGGCATCATCAGCATATAATATAATATAATTACAAAAATTATGACCATTAAATAACAACAACAAAAATTTTCAAATCACTTTTATAATGGCTTCTTTTACCTAAGTATGAAAAAAAAGTCCAAAAATTTGTTTTTAAATATTGTCCATTGTCCAAATTCATACCACCATACGTTGGAGAACATTGATGTTTTTGTATCTCTAAGGCCTCACGGCTTTTCTTTCAAATTTTTCATCCTCAACTTTCAGTGTCATTACTTTATTCCATTCAATGTCCTCATTACAATTTACTTTATGCAAAGCTAATGCAGACTGGTTTAACTTGCCTTAAGTCAAAAATTTTTGGTGTTGTTGAACCCTTGTTCGTATTTGAAGTTTTATTTCACCAACATATACTTTGAAGCATTTACACTTAATTAAATAGGTTCCTGGAGTGCTGTTGCGTGGTAATTTAGACTCATTTTTAGACATTAATAGCGTTTTTAGGTTAGCATTTGATTTAAAAACAGTTCTGTAACCAGCTTTTCTGAATATTCTTCTAAGTCTGGAAGATATTATTGGTATCCATGGTAAAGAGATTGTAGGAAGGTTATTAGAGTTTGATGGAATTTCATTTTTGTTCGCAAAACGTTTTTTTCAAACCTGATCAGAAATATCTTTAAGCATTTTTTCATCGTATCCATTGAATTAAAAAATTTACCTCATCTTTTAAATGGTTTTCACTGCATATTGAGTATGCTCTGTGTATGTATCCTTTGAATATTGCTTTTAAAATTTTGGGATCATGATTAGAATGAGGTTTGATTTGGATATTTGTTATTGCATCCTTCCTGTAAACCTTGAACTCATACTTTCCTTGTGTATTATTAATAACAGTTATATCCAAAAAGTTAAGTATCTTATTTTTGTTTTCAACCTCAATAGTATATTTTAAAGAAGGATGTTGTCTGTTAAGAATTTTTTGGAACTGTTCCGCTTGATTTAAGTTAGAAAACCTTGCATGACTATCGTCTACATATCTATGAAAGGATTTAATATCAATTAAAGGAATCATTGTCATTGGCATTTTTAATGCCTTTTCCTCATGGTATTGTAAAAAAGGTTCAGCCAAAACAACCATAAAAGACAATCCAATTGGCCCTGAATTCTCCAACTCATGAATCTCACCATTCCACAAGAAATAACAACAAAACAAGCAAAGTTCAATTAGTTGTTTTGTTTCAGTTAAAGTAAGTTTGGTTAAGTTTTTGTAAGAAACGCTTATATTTAATTGATCCAAAAGTATTAAATTTGCTTCTTTTAATGGTATTGATGGGTATAAGTTTGCAATATCAAAGGATACCTGTATTTCATCCTTGTCAATTAACCACGACGTTAATAAAGTCTTTTGAATTTTTTAACCTAATAGGATTTTCATTTAAGACCGGTTGTATTCTTTTAACCAAGTAATTCGAAATTCCATAACAAGGTGTGCCAATAGTTGATACAACTACTCTCATCGGATAAGATTTTTCTTGTTTATGAGCTTTAATTAGCCCATACAAACATGGTGGGACAGGATCACTCGGGTATACGCTTTCATATTCATTATTAGAAAAATGTTGCTTTTTGTTAAGTTTTGAAAGGAAAGACTTTATTTTAGCTGCATAACTTAGAGTGAGATCAATACTAATAATTTTTGTTGGACCAATCTGTTCTCTAATTTTTTCAATTGCTTTATTATGTTCTATTCTTACAAATCCTATTTCTTTATCAAATGGATAAATATCAATTTTCTTGACTTGAATAATTTCTTTAAATGCTTTTCTTTGATCTCTCGTTAGATTATGATTAATTTTTTTGCCCATTTTAAGTTCTCTCAGTACATATTTCCTTAGATTTTGCGCTTTTTCAATTTCTTTATTATATTTGAGTTTTAAGGCAGACGATTCAGTTGTTGTAATTATGTCCATGTTAGGTATAGATCTCAAGGAAGGTACAAAGTGTGGACCAAGATTCAGAAGATTGATTTGATTTTCAGGTATCTTTGTATCACAAAGATTTAAAATCACGTTTTTAGTGTATTTTTGTTAATTTCTTATTACTTTTGCTGTAATTGAATTCACTTTGAAGTATTTTGAACTTTTTAATTGATCGTTCTTTAGATTTTATAAACATATTTTCACGAGCTTTTTTCTTTGTCTTCAATCTTATTTTTGAGATTTCTGTCAAGGTTTTTAGTAATATTAATAAGATTAAGATATCGTCTTTTAGAATCATTTTTTATACAAACTAAAAGTTCAAATCTAAAACGAAAAACAATACTTCTTGCTTTCCTTGAATTTACAGGACAATTGATTCGTAAAGATTTCGGAATTAACTTATGTTTCTCGCATTTTTGTAAAAATATAAATTGATTTTTAGATTTAGCTATCGACTTCTTCAAATCTTGTAATTCTTTGGTTATTGTATAAATTCCAGCTCCGTATTTAGTTGTTATGAATGATTTAAATGTTGACATCTTGTACGAGAGTAAATATTAATATATAAACTAATTTAAAACATCAGATAGTACCAATTCTCTCAATACTAAATAATTTATTTGAAATTTTTGTCGGATTATAGACACCGGCATCATCAGCATATAATATAATATAATTACAAAAATTGTGACCGTTAAATAACAACAAAAAAATTTTTTAAATTTTGACGTCACCTTTATAATGGCTTCTTTTACCTAAGTATGAAAAGAATGAAGTCCAAAAATTTGTTTTTAAATATTGTCCATTGTCCAAATTCATACCACCGTTCGTTGGAGAACATTGACGTTTTTGTATCTCTAAGGCCTCACAGACTTTTCTTTCAAATTTTTTATCCTCAACTTTCAGATACAAAGCCTTAGAGATACAAAGACTTCATTTTTTCATACTTAGGTAAAAGAAGCCATTATAAAGGTGACGTCAAAATTTAAAAAGTTTTTTTGTTGTTATTTAATGGTCACAATTTTTGTAATTATATTATATTATATGCTGATGATGCCGGTGCTTATAATCCGGCAAAATTTTCAAATAAATTATTTAGTATTGAGAGAATTCGTATTATCTGATGTTTTAAAATAGTTTATATATATATATATATATATTTACTCTCGTACAAGATGTCAACATTTAAATCATATATATATATATATATATATATATATATATATATATATATATATATATATATATATATATATATGTATATATATATATATATATATATATATATATATATATATATATATATATATATATATATATATATATATATATATATATATATATATATATATATATATATATATATATATTAGAGTGATGCAAAAGGCATAATTACCTCAGATTATTTGTGAGACTCCCTTTTTTGTTTTAACTTGTTGTAAAAGCATTCTGTGCAAAAATTTATATCAAAATAGTAATATTTTGGGGGTGCGCTGGCCAATTGGAAATTTATATATTTAAAAAAATTTTAGTAAAATCA